ACAACGGGCCTGAATCGAGACGGTACACGTGAATCTTCGGAACAGAAAGCTAATTTAAACCCCAACTCACCATAGGTAAAATGCCACAAGCGTACGTTTCCGTAATACCGGAGTCTTCATGAGATCCCACAATTTGTACTTCTTCGTGGTTTTTGCGCGATTAGAATCTTGCTCTGAGTCGAGTTGCTCCCACCTATAGAAGACTGCTATGAGTACTATCAAGTCATCAGGCGAGAATATAGGGGATTTATGCCCGTAAAATCCACCGATATGCCCACTTGAACATGTTTCCTTTAGTAAAACTTGAGAGAGAGCAACACAATACCATTCTCAGGCAGAACTTCTCCATTCATTTTTGCAGCCTTCCGAAGCACCTTATCAGCATCATCAAAACGTCGCTGAGTTACCAGCCATCGAGCACTCTCTGGTACCAGCCTGAGAAAAAAGAAAACAGCTGAACATGCAGGATAGCGTGAAAATATGACCAGATAAGAAGAAGAGCAAGTGCTTCTGATCTATTTAACACACGCACACCTCCACTTGCCTACTACCTAATGAAAGCGCTCCATCTTCCAATCACCTTCAGTGATCACATTTCACTTTCATTTTGGATGACACTTTAACCCCGCCTGAAAGTTGAAAAAAAAAGAGTACAGGTGATGAACGGACCAGTGAAATCATCGATGCGAAACCAAGGGATAAATGGTAAGGTTCAGCTACAACAGAGGAAATTGGCAAGTATTCAAAATGTGAACCTTTCCGGCCGATCCCCTATCATTGCCGTTTGCCACCTATGGAAAGCGCGTCTTTCCATAAAAAAATATCTTGACAGCTTCTTCTTGTTCCAGCTATAACCCAAGTACCCGTAGGACGCCGCTCCATTCTGGTGTATCGTTCACCGTATGCCACAAATGGTTCTGTCCCGGCGAATCTTCTTGCTGTGAGACCAGAGATTTTAGATGAAGGACCTTCGGTGACTGACGAGCTCTTGTCGAGATACCTGCATTATTTATTGTGTATTTGTTGATCGATAGGTGAGAGGCTGTAAAGATTGGGATATGCGATTGCATGATGAAGTGCTATGTAACCATTCTGATGTCAGAAGGTTCAAATTTTCTTTAGGGCCGGTCGTCGCATAGTTCTTAGTGGAGGTTATTTTCTTGCCGGCTTCTGCTTGCTGATGAATTATTTTATGGGCGACAGCGGTTAGTTTTAGAAGATTTTTTCATTGACTCTGGCTTGTCAAATAATGCCTACGATATGTGCCGCCCGGCTGGTGCATAACTTGCAACTTTCGCGAAAGGCACTTTTGACGCTAAGTAAAGGTGGCCTTAGCAGTAGTGAAGGACATTTACTTTGAGCGGAACTAAATGTGCTTTTTTTGCAGCGACACCGATGATAGCGATTATCCAGATGATGGTCACGAAAGGTGCTATCACCGGCGTTTATGCGTCCATCTACACCTATTCGCCAGAACTGTTCCCTACGGTGATCCGAAACACTGCGATGGGCTGCTGCAGTACAATCGCTCGTATTGGAGCGATTTCGGCCAGCTATATCAGCCTGTGGATTGTCAGTTCCTCTCGCGCCTTTTCTTTATTGTGTACACGTTCTGTTTACCGCACTTTTGTGGTTCTCCAGGTTCTATAACATAGATAATTTTTCTAGGTGGAAGCATTTGGCAAAGTGTACATGGTAGTGCCATTCGCCATAATGGCAATATCAGCTGGCATACTGACACTGTGCTTCCTGCCAGAGACGATGGGTCAACCCTTGCCTGAAACGATTCAGGAAGTCGAAGGCAAAGGTCTCGGTGAATCACAGGAGTTACAGCCCCTCCGGACGAAGGAGTCGAATGAGCCCACAAAGGAGAATTAGGAATCCTCCGATAAGGGCTGCCTGCCCAATTGTTTGAACTGGTTTCGTGATGTTTTAGAATTGCCAGGTTTTGCTAATAATTTGATAAGTTTGAAAGTATGTGTTTTATAGAGTCCGTTTTAGTTTTGACATCTCGTACGTTTACGTTCACTGTTGATGCCCGACTCTACTTATTTATTCATGGTGTGATTTAATGCCATCGTAACTGTTTTAGTTTGTATGAATAGCCGCGATCCTTTGTAGGAAGCCTTTAGTCGTTTTACGATGTTGCGAGGCGGCAAAAGTGTTCGAAACTCCTCAATTTGCATTTTTCGCTGATATTTTAGTGGGCCGTGTGTTATAGTAATTTTTAGGTATTTGGATCATTTCCAAGACTCGTCTCCACTTTCACTTTGTTATTGAATCCACGACACGTACCCTTAGTAGCCGCGTTACTTACTTTTGAAAGTTCCATGTTGTCATTTCAAGTTCTCAAGGCTTGTTGTAGCATTATTGGTAACGTTAAGGGCTGCGATCACGATGACTGGACGGCGGTGCGGGTTGGTGACGTCAGTGAATGTCATTTTTGGACTAAACCACTCAGCGCGCTGAGGGTGCTTGGGACCCCCTCTTAACGCCCTTCCACCAATGATGTTCAATGATGCCATCCAATCCGCAACGCCCTCCAGCCATCGTGACACTGCTTTTAAGAGGTTTTAGTAAGATTCGCATGTCTCTCTTAGATTCTTGGGTTCGATCTCATATAACTCGATGTTGGTATTGTTACTAAAAATTTCGTCTATGATTACTGTATCAAGTCGAAATGGCGAAGTGGAATTTCCAGCGATTTCCGAACTACATCTGAGGACGAATTTAGCAATTCACTCTGATGTTGAGAAGTGGGAAGTAGTGAAGGTCACGGTGCCAAAATTTATTTTTCCTGGCTTTGGCTCCGCTTTAAGCCAGTCAGCGTTGTGTTGTCCATAGTCTGAAGTTACCAATTCCCACTCATGAATGGTCAAAAGATTGCACAGAATGACAACTCGGGAGCACTTTTTAGGTTAATCACTGAGGAGGAGGGGCATATAATGCGACAGTTGTTGCCGCATACAAGAATTCAAGTTTTTGCAAAACACGAGTTCGGCGGTGTGAAGTATAATATTCCTATAACTATACCAACCCCTTTAACTCCACCCCGGAGCTTCCTTCGCCTTAAAATGTATTCTGTGCGAATACTAGCTAGCACCCATAAGCACCTTGTTGATTGACCCTCACTTTTTTGTAGTTGTTTCCAGCTTAGCGATGAAATTGGCATATGCCGGCAAGTATTCGCACAACCCCGATTCAGGGGGCTTTTTGGTCATTACACAAATATATGGTAGGAGGGGATCAAAAAGATTCTTTGCCCGTGGCGCAACCAATTGTTCACATAAGTTGTCGTCGCGTAGAGTGGCCATGGAAGTTCTAGGCAAGATATTTCACAGGTGCCCTCCCATAAGCAGAAGCAGGCTCTGCTTCACTGCCCTCACCGTCTTCAGAATGTGACGTCAACGATCATCAGGTTGAGGTCGACGAGGCCTACTGTAATCACTCTAGCCTGAAGATGCTGCGTAATTTCTTCAATCTGTTAAGTGGATTGTGCATGCTGTCCGGGACAGTACCCAGTTTGAACTTGCAGCCGCTTTTGACCAGCGTTTTCAGATAATGTCGTAAAGGCCCAAATCCGCCGGGGATCTTTTACTGCGACCCGTACAACACGTTTCCACGGGAGATTCTTCTGATGTCTACGTAGAAGGCTTTTCGAAGTTTTGTGGTAGAATGGAGTGTGCTCTTCAATTTCCAGTTGATGTTGAATTGAAATTAGAAATTGTAATTATTTCCATTGGGCGGAAGTGGTGTAGTGACAAGTGGCACGCTCACCACGCGAGCGGTCCGGGGATCAAATCCTGGGTCGTGAGTCGCCCGGGCCAACCAAGCCTTCCATCCCTCCGGGGTCGGTTAATTGGTACCAGACTTGTCTGGGAGGATAAAAACACTGACTTGTACATCGGCTGGCCCCCGCAAGTCATTGTATAGGCCACATCGCATTCAAACGCCACTGCGAATGTACAAATGGAAGTAGAATGCGTGCCGCATCCCAAAAAGGGATTGATCAACGGCAAATGCTTTATCCTTTTTATCCTTTTAATTCGTCTTCCTTCGTATTGGATGATTAGATGCAAAACGATAGACTCTTTTTCTGCCCCTCCCCCTGTATGTATGTGGAGTTAGAACAAACACGGGTTTTCCATGCAATCTTCCATATGGGAATGAATCAATATTGCTGGTTTTCGTGGGCGGTATCTGGCACTCCGCGTGTATTTTTTTTTACCATGGAGAGTTTCAGAAATGTTGCGATGACGCTTGAAGAGGCGCTCATGCAGCTAGAGGGCATTTTGGTGAAATAATTTGTGTGCAGACAGGAATCCCAATTTTTGAGAAGCCACAAACTCTGAGCCCAATGAGCCAACTTCCTTTTGGGAAAAGGATTAGGTGGGGATTGCTCCTCATAAATATTTACGAAAAATTATCCACTCATCCCCTCCCCCGTCCCCCACCCTGCCTGAAAGGCGCTGGAGCTCTTATGTGTGTGTTGTACGGTTGCGTCCAACTGATTCCAGAATATCCGGCATTTATTGGACTACGAGCAGCGACGTTCGAATGAACAAAACCGTACTGAATAATCCGCCAAACAAAAAGCGGCTGAGCACACAGCAGCAGCAGAAGCGCAGCCACACAAAACGCGGCGCTTTTTGGCGGCAGTTTCAGATCCGATGGACGTCTACTTTATCACAGTCTTAATATTCTCTCAGTTTTGTGCAGATGCCACCGCCGAAGACGGCAACCACACCATCGTAAAAAGGCAATCAAAGTACATCTGCGGCACGGATCCCTACCGGTTCTTCTCGGACGTTCGTAAGTTATTTGTTTTGTGAATCATGAAATTCTTTTTTTGCTTCATTGTCATCAGATTGGCTCATTGCTGGCAACCATATTGCGTGTTGAATGCATCTTTTCATGGTGTATCTAGAACGCAGTAGCTTGTAAGAACACTCTACAATAGCGGAAACGGCTAAACTTGCCAACGGTTGCCACTGAACAAAAAGGAAAAGAATCCGTTTTTGATGTTGAAAACGCCCCAATCAAGGCCTCTCTTCTAACCGGTGGAAGAGTCGTAAAGGCAAACAGTTTAGGAGGCACTGTTGCACCGTGGCGAGAGGAAGTGATGGAGACGTGAGAGTATCGCGAAAAGCTAGGCAGCAGAGACCGCAACGTTGGGCTTGCGTGGTTGCTTAAGGTGCTAATGGTCACGCGTTTCCAGCCCAAAAGCCCTTTTCGTGAGTTGGATCATGAAATGGTCTCATCCCTTTGGTCACTAACCAAGCACTTTTATTTGAGGGGAGGATTGACTTAAAGACCTTGCCGGGGAATGTGCCTCCAGTCATCTGTAGACCTCACAGTCTCCATCTACACTCGGAGGACTTGCAGCATTTGTTCACATACAGCCGGGCGGCAGACGCGGAACAATGAGCCTGTGATCGATCTACTG